CACACACACACACATGGTTGCGTGTGTGTATACATATGCACACAAACATACACACCACACACACACACATTTATAAATAAATATAAATATATATAAATATATATATATATATATATATATATATATATATATATATATATATTATATATATATATATATATATATATATATATATATATATATATATACATATATATATGTGCTTACTTATGTGTGTGTTTATATATATATATATATATATATATAATATATATATATATATATATATATATATATATTATATTTGTGTGTATGTGTGCGTGTTGTGTGTGTGTGTGGGTGTCTGTGTGTGAGTGTGTGTGTGAGTGTCTGTGTGTGTGTGTATGCCTGTGTGCATGTTTGTGTGTGTCTACTGTGTGTGTGTGTGTGTGTGTGTGTGTGTGTATGTGGTGTGTGTGTGTGTGTGTGTGTGTGTGTGTGTGTGTGTGTGTGTGTGTGTGTGTGTGTGTGTGTGTGTGTGTGTGTGTGCGTGTGTGCGTGTGCGTGTGTGTGTGTGTGTGTGTGGTTGTGCATGTATGAGTCTTTATATGTTTACATATATAAAAGGTCAAGGGGATGGTATTCATTCGACGACTATTTCAAGGTATAAATTTATATGCACACACACACACACACACACACACACATGCACACACACACATATTTATATATATACATATAGGTATGCGCACACGCACACACACACACACACAAAGAGATATACAGATACGTATAGCATTTTCAATACCCACTACAATCAAAATGTCACTCAGATAATGAAATAAAACCGAAACGCAGTGTCGGTAGCCATTGAAGACAGAAAAAAATCCTTGCCACAAGAAATAACACAGCGCACGCCACTCAACGTGTTCTGGAGATGTTTCCTCGTGGACCAGGAGCCACAGCTGTCTCCGTCCCCCTCCCGACCCCATGACACACACCTGTGCTTACATTAACAGGTGGTCCTAAAGTGTAATTCACTTAATACGAACGGAGGAGAATTCGGGTAAAGGCAAAGTCACGCTTGTGGACGAACGTATACACTGCCTGTCACAGCAAGGTAAGATCCACACGCAAAGATGATTACGAGCTTCACGATAAAGGCGGGCAGGTGAGAGCGAGGAAGGGCGGGGGATCTGATTGGTGGTTGTCACTCGAGACAAAGTGCCGGGGGCGACGTAACGATGACGTGGCGGCCCGTGATTGGTTGGGCTTATTACCTGTCGTTCCCCCTGAGTGAGAGAAAAAAGGAAACTACTGACCGGCAACTCAAAGGATCTGGCCTGATATTTTTTTTTATTTTGTGGAGATAGTGAAAGTGCAAAGCTTTTGATGAGCACTCGGTTCATTTTTGTGCATCGATTCCTATTTATCCACGATTTGATGTTTTGATTTTGATGTGAAACACTTATCAGTAACAAAATGGTACGTAATACTGTCACACCACGTTTGGGTATTGGCGAAACAACCTGACACATAAATTAAATCATTGCGTTTGGACAATGATACATAATAAGGGAAATGGTTATGCAAGAAATAGCTGGAATATTCGAATAACAATGAGTTTAACAAGAACTGTAATACAAACGATAATCAAACTCATAATCATAACTAGCAACACTAATAACCACCACAATAAACATCATGATAATATTCAGAATAATGACCATATTATCATCATGATCATCATCACCATAATCATCATTACTAATACAATTACTATTACTACTACTACTACTACTACTACTATTAATAGTAATAATAATTATAGTAATGAGAACCATCATCATAATGATAATGACGGTAATGAAAACAATAACAATGATGATAATGACGGTAATGAAAACAATAACAATGATGATAATAAAAATGATAACCGTAATGCTGATAATAACCAATGCAATGATGATAATACCAAAAGCTCAAAGTAATCATAATAAATTATTGTTACCATGAATTGGCGACATCAATGATAATGAAAATAAAGAAAATCTTAAGCGTTACTTGTTTCGGAACTTAATTACTCTTACCATAACATCCATTCCACAAAAGTAAGATTAATCAATATTTCCTTACTATAAATACTGTTGTGGCTGTCATGATTACCATCAACACTCATCCAATTTTATTTGTTATCGTTTCTATCACACCTTTCTCACAAGAACCTCTATTCATAACTTTCCCTCAGATATCCAACAGAGAGAACAACAACGCACAAGAAACGGAAAAAAATAACGGAGGAGAAGAAATAAAATGTAGCAAAATATTCAGAGCGGGGATCGGGCAAGGCAAACGGGAAGCAACACCCGCCTCACTGAATGCGCGCGGAGGAAGCCTGACTTTTAGACTCCTCTATTACGGATTATTCAACTTAGGGAGATTTCTTTGGGTGAAGTTGAGGGACGAATAATTGCCTGAACTTAGAGAAGTGGAAAACGGGTTGAAGAACTATGTCGAGTTTTTTTTTTTTTTTTTTTTTTTTTTTCCTAAGCGTGTTAAAGTTATCTCATTTTTCTTTCGTTTCTTTTCTTAATCTTCCTATCTATCTCTTCCAAACGGTATATTGTCTAATCTATTATTTAATTTATTTTTTATTTTATTTATTAATTTATTTAATCTATTATTTAATTATTTAATTTCCATAAACAATATTATTTATTTAGTTTAGCTAATTACCAATAGCAATCATGAATATTACCAATCTTGATGATGATGATGATGATGTTGATGTTGATGATGTTGATGTGATGTTGGTGATGTTGATGTTGATGTTGATGTTGATGTTGATGTTGATGTAGATGTTGATGTTGATGTTGATGTTGATGTTGATGTTGATGTTGATGTTGATGTTGATGATGTTGATGTTGATGCTGATGATAATAATGTTTATGAAAAACAACAAACAACAAAAATCAGTTTTGAGTTTCATTTTGATGCAAACAAACAATAGTTACGCATTCTTCTCATGGAACTTGAAGTCAGAGGGTAAGAAACAACTTTGCAAACAACAGGTTTTCCTCTTTCCTTTTATTTCTCTTCCTTTTTCCATGTTTTCTTGTGAAAAAATGAATAATATCAGAAAGCATTATGATTAGACTATTAATTGGGTTACTAGTACAGCTAATGATAATTACGACAATGATGGCAGTAACAATGTTTATGATAATGATAACAGTTACAGTGACAATGAGGATGGTAGTAAAAACAATAATTAGATAAACAACTATTATGCGTAGTGTTTGTTGCAGTAATATAGATTCTAACGGTAATAATGACTGTTTTTTATTATCCTATCATGTTATTGTTATTTTCATTAACCGTGTTATTATTTTCCACCCAAATGAATGTCGTTCTATCCGTATTCGTGAACTTCCTCCTTAATCTTCTCTTCCTACCTGTCATCTCCATCTGCAGCATCCTTCTCTATTACCGAATAACTTACGCTTTCTTTCTGTTTTCATTCCTGATCCTCCCATCCTTGTCCGTACCTTCGACCGGGCCTCCTTCATCTCCGCCATCTACGTCTATGCCAGCCACTTTGCCCCCAAACCACAGCGGCCACATTACCATCTTGTGGACTTTCCCTTTTCACTCTGGCAGCTATTAATTCTTGCGCGAAACACTTCCATCACTCTTTTCTGCTTATGATATCTTATTTTTTTTTTTTTTCTAATGTTTTTTATGTCTTAACCCTCTTCTACGTTTTTCTTGTTCAATATTATGAACTGCTGAACCGGTAAGCGTTTACATTCTTCCTCCTTTATATCATTCTGCCTCCCTCGCTTCACTCCACGCACTTGTACTTGGTTACTAAGTTTTCCTCCTCCTCCTAATTTGCGTTCTCCTTCTCTCCGTGGCTTATCGTTACTTCGTCATGGTAAATAATAACTACTGTTGGGAAAGGGATACTCCGGTTTCATGATTGATATAATCGTCATTATTAATGTAATCATTATCAATAAAGTTACAGTCATTTCATCATCAATACCAACGCTACAATAATTCTCAGCCAGATACCATTCATAAATGAATGTGGAATGTCTTACCGACGGCAGTTTGTGGTGCGTGTTGTTCATAAGATTCGGAGCAACTCGTAAATCACAATTTCCAAGGCTTAGATTGTCAACAATACCCAGCATCTCGACAAGAGTGATTGGCAACTCTATTTTGTTTTACCTTTTCCAGAACCCGTTTTGCAAGATGGAGTTTAGAACTTTCGTTTGTGATTTCGTTTCAGTTGAAGTCTAACTTTTTCCGAGTGAAAATGGCAACGGTATCATATTGCATCAATTTATCATGGAGTTACTTACAAAGCGGAAATGTTTTAGCTTATCTCTCCAGAAACGTTATTTTCACTACCGTGCACGTGGTTTCGTCTAGTTGCCAATCACTCATGGGTGTAATACTATTTTTCTAGCACATGATGCATATTGGGTTAAAGTATCTTTTTTTTAATTCGCTTCTTTATTCATAGAAGATTCCTCCTTGTTTAAACGGTATTTCTTTAATGATGAAGATTGGATGACCATGTAATTTCGCCAGTCATGTGAGGGAGATACACAACAAATTACTATTTCCTAAGCTTAAGATATCAACAAATAGTTAACTGCATGAGTAGAGAATATGATTTCATTGGATATGTGGTGATATCTAAATTGCTATCCATTATTAGCTTCATATATTACAAGAAAAGGAAATACAGGTAAATAAGACATGGCAACTAACTTCCGATGGTCCTGGATGAGTTACCAAATGAATTTAAATAATTCATATTTCGCATTCAAATGATGAAATAATTTTCCTAAATCATGAAAAGATGAATTTTCCGCGTATCTATCTTAAATACCATAGCACCATATACCTAAATATCTAGATATGCACCGATGTATTTGAACAGAATTGAAAGTGATAGCGCGATGGCAAGAGTTTCTACCTGGTGATGCCGACTATTTTGACCAAAACACTATTAGTTGACTGCGACTCGTTGATGTCTCCGCACCTCCGTGAACGTCCTCTGTCGCGGATTTTACTTACTGCTATATTGATTAATATAGACCCGCGGTTTTAATTACGTGTGTTACGTTTCATGCAAATTATTTTTAAATTGATTCGATGCTTGAGTGACGTTTAGTTCTTTTAACTCGCATTGATGTCTTTTATTGAGTGACTTCCCAGAAATTGAGAAAGAATAGTGAAGACTTTTCTGCTGCAAG